GTTATAGACCCTTCTTGACATCACACAATACCAAATACCTGTGATTCTGCTTCCAAGTGGGACTTGGTCACCAACCACTGGGCAACACACTACTCATAAAATGGGAGGTATCTTTCCCCACCATTTTCTCATGCAGCTGCTACACAAAATCAGGCAGGACAGTGCCAGAGTTATTCACACCCAACTGGCCACAACAAACATGGTTCACCTATCTGGCACAGATGGCAAAAATGCTACCACTAATGCTGCTGCTATTTCCCTACCTTCTCATGCAGGATGTGGGTCATGTCATTCACCTCAACTTATGGTTCTCTACCTCGAGGCCTGGATACTACATGGATAGAGCACTTAGATGCTGAATTAGTCTCAGGAAATGAAAGGCATCCTTGTGAATAGCTGTTGGCTAAATATATGCAAAATGTACATCCAGTAATGGCTCTGATTCTCCTCTTGGTTTGATTCTCATGGCTTGTTTCCTCACTCCTCTTCCCTAGTCCTGGACTATCTCTTAAGCCTCAAAAAATCAGGCCTTTCCAACAGCTCCATGAAGGTGCACTTAGTCATAATGCACCTCAATGCATCACAGTGTAGATAGCACCTCCATCTTTGCCCATCCAACTACCACATACTTTCTCAAAGACTTAACCACTGTCTTTCCACCGCTAAAGGACCCTACCTCATGTGGGATCTTTACCTTATGCTATGCACCCTTTTGGGTAAACCATTTGAACCTTTTGCAACATACTTTCCTGCATTTGTCCATGAAGTTAGTCAGTAGAAAGACTATCACCTTTGCACAAAGGGTGCAGTAATTAGGATCCCTAACAGTTCATTCCCCTTATACCATATTTTAGAAGGACAAGGACATCCTCTACCCCCACCCCAAATTCATACCAAAAGTGGCCTCTCCATTTCACCTTAATCAACCGATGTACTTACATTTTTTTCCCCCACAACTGCACATGGACACTAGGAAGGCCTCTTGCCACACACTCAGGCTGTGTCTACATTGGCCCCTATTCCGTAATAGGGATGCTAATGTAGCACTTGGGAATAGGCAAATCCGCGGGGGATTTAAATATCCCCCACGGCATTTTCATTTTCATGGCTGCCGCTTTTTTCCAGCTTGTAGATAAGCCGGAGAAAAGCGCCAGTCTGGACGCGATCCTCCGGAAAATAAGCTCTTTTCTGGAGGATCTCTTATTCCCACTTTCAAGAGCTTATTTTCCGGAGGATCGCGTCCAGACTGGCGCTTTTCTCCGGCTTATCTACAAGCTGGAAAAAAGCGGCAGCCATGAAAATGAAAATGCCGATGCCACGGGGGATATTTAAATCCCCCGCGGATTTGCCTATTCCCAAGTGCTACATTAGCATCCCTATTACGGAATAGGGGCCAATGTAGACACAGCCTGAGTGTGTGGCAAGAGGCCTTCCTAGTGTCCATAATGTACATTTAACTGCTTTGGACCTCTCACATTCTACCTGGACAGAGCAAAAACATTCAAAAAATTACTCCCTCTCTTCCTTTCTACCACTGAGCAATTGAGAGGCGAGGCTATCTCCAAACAGACTGTCAGAATAGATTTCTGATTGCGTACACCTGTGGTACCAACTGAATGTTATCCTGCTTCATCTTATAGTTAAAGCTCATTCTACCATAGTGCTTTTGATATCCACAGTCTTCCTTAACAGTGTGCACATAGAAGACATTTATAGATGCCTCTTGGGCTTCTACCGACACTTTCACCAAACATTGAGACCAGGAACATACAAATTCTGTTACCAACAGAGTTTGTACGCTTGGCTGTGTCCAGACTCACCTGCGTCCAGACTCAAGCCGCGTTCTTTCGAAATTAAATCGAAAGAACGCGGCTTTTCTTTCGACGGCGGTAAACCTCAATTTACGAGGAAGAACGCCTTCTTTCGAAAGTTCCTCTTTCGAAAGAAGGCGTTCTTGAATGTAAATAGGGCTTCTTCGAAAGAGCATCCAGACTCACTGGATGCTTTCTTTTGAAAAAGCAAGCCGCTTTTTCGAAAGTTCAACGTGCAGTCTAGACGCTCTCTTTCGAAAGAGGCTCTTTCGAAAGTATCTTTCAAAAGAGGCTTGCAGTCTATGGTACTATCCACAGTCCATGTAATCACTCCAAAGCCCCTGCCTTCTTTGAGGGGTATTGCTCCATAGTCACCTAATGTGGAGCATTCATAGGGCACTCATCAAAGAAGAAAAGGTTACTCACCTTAAGCAGTAAATGAGCAGCAAATGAGGTTCTTTATGATGGTTGTCCCTCTGAGTGCTCCATCCCTCCGCTGCTTTGGAGCTCATGTTGATCCTCTCAGGCACTCCTGCTAATAGAGCCAAGAATTATGTTGGTTTTTTTGCAATAGTGTTATACTGTTAACTCAGATTTAGTTTGTGATCCACTTTGGCACTCAGATCTCTTTCTACAGCACTGTTATGAGGCCATCATTTTCTATTTTGTGTGCACTCAACTGATTGTTCTTTCCAAAATGGAGTACTTTGCATTTGTCCTTATTGAACTTCTTCCTATTTACTTCAGACCATTTCTCTTGTTTGTGCAGATCATTTTGAATTTTAATCCTATCTTCCAAAGCACTTGCATCCTCTTCCATCTTGGCATCTGTCAGGGGGTACGCCCCTGATGGGGGTTGCGGCCCCCTTCTACTGGCCCATGTCTCAGTCCGGGCCCCTCTCTCCGGGTCTATACAGTACCCAAAGTCCCAACACAAAAGTGCAGGTCCCTCTCTCAGGGTATATACGGTACTAGAGACCTAGCCGCTCTGAGAAGCCTCTCCTGGCCCGGGGTTTGATTATGCAGGGCAGTGGGAATGTGTGGTAGGGGGACCCGGGCCCTCCTTCTCCACCGGGTCCCAGACCAGGGCCCTTTAGGCAGAGACTATTGCTCCTGCCTGCTCGGCGGGGGATCCGGCCGCTACACACTGAGCCGCTCTCCCAGTCCCCTGCCCTGGGATGCTTCCGACCACGCCCTGCTACCCACACAGTCTACTGGCCTCCTCCCTGTGTCGGTGGCTGCTTTCTCGGTGTCAGGGTCAGGCACGGGTGGTGACTCTGGTCCCAGCTGCTGCAGAAACACTGGTCCGGCCTGGTCTCCTCCCTCACCCTGCGGTCTCCCTGACTGCAGGGCTCCCTCTGCTTTTATACCCGGCTTCTGCTGGGAGCATTCCCAGCAGGGTCGGAAGGGCGGGGCTTTCTCCACCAGCTGGGCCTGGGCTACCCCCTGTCCGTCAGTGTGGGGCCTGTCCGCCCCGTCACAGCATCATTCAAAAAATTTATATGTACTCTCATGCCATTTTCTAAATCATTGATGAAGACATTGAAGTGAACTGGATCCAGAACTGATCCGTCTGGGACCCCACTTCATATTCACTTCCAGTTTGGCTGTGAATCATTAATAACTGATCTCTGGGAATGGTTTTCCAACCATTTATGCACCCACCTTATAGTAACTGCATCTAAATTGTATTTCCCTAGTTTGTTTATGGGTCATGGGAATAACAAAAGCCTTTCTAAAGTCAAGATATACCACATCTACAGCTTTCCCCCATCCACAAGCCTGGTTGCCCTATCAAAGAAATGTATAAGGCTGTTTGACATAATTTTTTCTCAACAACTCCATGCTGACTGTTACTTGTCATCTTGTTATCTTCTAGGTGTCTGCAAATTGCTTACTTATTTACTCTGTCATCTTTCTGACTGAAGTTAAGCTGAATGGTCTGTAATTCTCTGAGCTGCAATTCTACTTATTATAGCTTAATCTAGTATTTGTCCTTTTCTAGTCCTCTAGAGGGTCACCTGCTTTGTTAAGCTGGAAATCTTCAGTAATTAACTGTGGAAGTTGCTCTCTCTTTCCTGGGACTCGTGGAAAATTATAGCTTAAATATGTGTATATCGTGAATCTGAAGATAGCATCTGGTTGTAATTTTTTCAGGCCCTGGGTAACATTCATGTAGTTACTGTGACACTAGCATTGACTACAACTTTGCTGGGGATGATGGCGATGAATAATATGTTATCCTTGAAACACTTATCTGTATACTGTGCTATGGTGCTTTTCCTGACCCTATTACAGGAGCCCTGTTGGAGGGACAGGATCACTAAATGATATTTTGAGCCTAGGTTTGGAAAGTGGCATTTTAGATAGGGTGGTGGATTTGCTCCCCACACTCAGTTTTTAGATAGTGTTTACTTTGGGGGGGGGGGAATCTTTTTGTTAGTTTAAATTAAACTTATCCAAAAGGTATGTTTGATCTAATCTTCACTTTTCACTTTTTATGTAACCTAAAGCAGGCCTATTTAAAGAAAGAAATCACAATTAAAATTTTTAAAGAGTGTCTGGAATGGCTCAGGAGAATGAGTATCAGCCTTAGGAGTAGACTGTTGGGAAGCAGGGTACACACCCCAAACTGGTTGTGAGTTCTTTATTTAGATTTCACCAACCAAGCATCAAGTGTGTACTCTTCAGGCACTATAGCAGCCTTACCATGGAGTCATAGGGAGTCCCTTTGGTTATCCCGATTTGTTTTGCCAATCAGTTAAGCTTGCATTAGTGAGAAATTGTCCCTTACACCAATAATCACAACAATATTAGGTTAATCTCAGTCCCAATGGACCAGTCACTTATCTCAAGTTAATTGCACCTCAGATCCCACACCATATACAATGCTTGTAGCCAATCCTATAAAAATGAACTAAATATTTATTAACTAAGAAAAAGAAATGAAAGTTATTTAGAACATTAAAGCAGGTGAACTACAGTTACAGTCCTAGGCTCCACAATGTGGTTGATCCTTACTCTTCATAAGTCAGACTACTAAGAAAATTACTGAGTTCAGTAAATGTATAGGGAAATGAAATAAAATTATTTTTGAAAAAATAATCATTTTAGACTGACATTTTGATTAAGTTGAGCATTGATTCTGGCACAGGCAGTAAAGGACTACTTCATATTTTTTATATTTAGGATTAAAAGCTGCAGAAGTTTCTTCTCTACCACCATCAATAATTTTGGATGCAAAGGAGATCACAACTCATATTGCTAAACAAATTTTGGTATGTAGTAGTAATTTACATTGTTAATTTTTGGTCTTATAAAACATATTTATATTCTAATATATATTCTCACGTATTGTCTGTTTTATAAAAATTGTAAGTTGCCCAATGATAAATTATAGAAGTACATGAATATGACACATAAAAATAAGATGTAATGATATAGGACAACTGCTACTATTATTGGGAAATTTTAAAAGTTAAATCAGTGTTACTTTTAACAAATTTACTAATAAAATTACTGTGAGAAAGGGAGAGAAATATCTTACTTTATTTTTTTCAAAAAACTTCTTTACCCCATGAACAGTTTAAAAAAATCTGTAATTTATGTATATAACCTTTGTAACCTTTCTCAGAATTGTTACAGACTAAGAAGCTGCTTGTAGGATAGATTTCAAATGGATTTCTCACTTCATTCTGGTTTTAGATCAAGAAATTAGACATTATGTTTTAGAGAGTGGTTTTAATTGGTCGAAGATCACTGTCAAGTGACAACACGGAGTTCTGTCATTACAATCTTGAAGTACTAGACATAGTCCTAGAGACAATCTACAAATGGTACATCAGCAAACACAAAAATGGGACAGGCAGTAAACAGCCTACATTACTACTTCAGTAAATGAAAATCTATGTTCACATTTTAATGTATTTGTTTATTTTTAACAGCAAAAGCAAAGAAGCAGTCCTGAAACATTAAAACAGAGGGCTGTATACCATCTAGCAACAAGGTTGGTTCAGACTGCAAGGAACTCTCAATTGGATCCAGACAGTTTGCGAATATTTTTGAAAGGTCTGAAAAAAAAATATGAAGCTGATTGTCCTGTATCTGGACAAGCACAAACAGAAGATGGACAGTAATGTACAGCTTACACTGATTGAATAATTTATTTAGTGAGGACCAGAATATTTATTCAACACTGAAATGTAACTTTTAAATTTTTTTTAAATATTTACTCAACGTAAATTACACTCACTACTAAAGCACTACCTTCCCCATATGTGAGTATAAGTAGTTATTCTGAAGAATTTTTTAAACAAATTTTAAACAGAAGCACTTATTTTTTTATAAATAATATTAAAAAGTCCCTGGCAAGTGAGGAGGTGTTCTTTTGGCCGGTCACTGCTAGCCAGAGGCAGGACATTTAGCACACCTCTGGAAATAATTTTGGCTGAATGTGGCCAAATTTAAGGTCTATTCACATCTTTGAGTTGGGGCCAATGAGTATCTCCCCCCACCTTAGTGAGAGCTGTAGGAGGGATTCTCTTTAATTTTGTGTCATTTTCTCTTTGAGCAACCGTGTGGGGGGGAATACAAAAAAGTTAGTTGTATATTTTTTAAATCTAAGTTCATAGTTTAAGGTTTTATTAAATGTTTGTATGCCAGTTAATAAATAGTGTTTCCTAAATCATAGCGGTTTACTGTTCTCCTGAGACTATTTTACTTTCACATATTTAAAAAATATCAAGCAAAAAAACCTTTAAAATTCAGCTGCCAATGTTTCTTTTTCAAAAGTGGCTCCTGCCATAACTGTGTCAATTACAAAGAAAAATGAAAGACACAGTATTTTGGCTGAAGGCAGTTAGCAGTAAAGACTTCGTAATCCTCAATTCCCCCATGGCTTCCAGTGATTTTACATGGATTTGTAAATCAGTTAAAAATACTGCCAATACATTTTTCTCCAATGTTTTTCCTCCATTTTATAGGTTGTTATTATTCACAGAGCACCCCAGATGTTATAGACATGTTACATAGACATGACTGGTCTCTGCTTTAAAGAGTTTATAATCTAAACTGAAGATGCAGATAAAAATGGGAGAAAGGAATTAACAAAATAAAATTAATTCTTTCCCACTTATCCCAATATTATTCTCACTGAACTATTATCTATTGTACCAGTTTTTAATCTCTTACTATAGTTGGAGACTGTAGGGTTGCTTAAAGGCAAGGTTGCCTAACATTTTCTATTCTAAGACCCTTTTTACAATTGCTTATAACTTTGCCAAACTTAAGGCTGAAATTTTTCATACTGGGTGTCTGTCTCAAGTTAATACTTCATCTGTTTCCCAGAACAAGATTGGCAACATATAGGTTATGTTACTCTTATTAAAAATATTCTTATAACTTTTTTATTGCAAAGCTTCAGCACCTTTAGTTGAGAGTAGGGACATGAAATTTGTTGAAGTGGGAAGTGTTGCCTGCATGTAAAGAATGTGCCTTTTTCTGTATCCATAAAAATATGCCTAAATCTGGCCTAATTGTAGATCTCAGAAAAACATAGTTCACACATGCATAATAGAGAATTGCTAGAAATTAGCAATTAAATTCTTCTGCAGGTGATGTCCCCGTGGGTGCTCCACTGTAAGTGACGGGTCTTCCCTGGAGCCACAGGATCGGATACTTTTTCATAGCAGTTAGCAGTCGGGTCACGCATGCGCAGCGAGTCTCTCATGCTGCTGGCTGTTTGACAGTTGAGCACAGTCCAACTACCTCCCCTCAGTTCCTCTTCTACCACGCTCAGTCATGGATGGACAGAGCTCTCCTGCCATCTCAGGCACTTCTCTCTTCACAGAAATATTTTTCTTTCTTCACAACCTTTTGACCTCATTCAATTACAGATCCCCTTGTTGTGACGTAGTGGGGGTACCTGGCTGGTTTCTATGCTGCTGGCTCTGGGGTAACCCCCACTGGTTGCCGTGGGTACCACGACCCAGCAAAACAGGATGAGTCACTATGCAAACCAGTATGGCCAGACACCCCCATGGAGAGGAACAAAGGAAGGTGGAATGCTGCCCTGGCTGGGGGGCAGGGCTGGAAGAGAGTTAGTAGTTGCTGTCTGGGAGCATGGAGGAGACAGCCTAGGGAAAGGGGCTGGAGTTTAGGGGCCCAGTCTCCCCCATCTCAAGGGGGCCTGAGGCATCCTAGCCCAGCTCTGTGACCAGATTACATCTGTGCTGTGCTGTATCCTGGAGAGGCAATAAACTTCCTCTATTCCACCAGCTGGTGCAGTCTGTTTGTGCCATTTTGGGGTGCAGGAGACGGGGGACCCCCAACGCGCCGTCACACTTGTTACTTTATTTCCACTTCAAAGGGACAAAACAAACCAGGGAGCACACTGTTCTCTCAGCTGCAGCGGCTTCTCTCTGCCCCAGCTGGTTATGCTCCTGAAAAAAAGAAGGAAGAAATAACTATTCCACCAGCTGGTGCAGTCTGTTTGTGCCATTTTGGGGTGCAGGAGACGGGGGACCCCCAACGCGCCGTCACACTTGTTACTTTATTTCCACTTCAAAGGGACAAAACAAACCAGGGAGCACACTGTTCTCTCAGCTGCAGCGGCTTCTCTCTGCCCCAGCTGGTTATGCTCCTGAAAAAAAGAAGGAAGAAATAAGAAACAAGAAAGCTGGAGAGAGAAAACAAAAATCAAAACAGCAGCCTCTACCTATGGGCGCACCAACAGTTGAATTAGGAGCCCCCTCCCAACCCTAACTGCCAACGGCTTTAATATGCCTGGCTTGCAAAGGTTTAAGAAATGCTGCAGCTGCAGCGAACCCATCCCATTCTGGATGGTCACAGCTGCTGTATCATATGTTTGGGGGAGTCATACACCCCACAAAAATGCATGCACTACAAGAACTTGTCTCCCAGAGCAAGAAAGGACCGGGGGCTTAGGCTCCACATTTCCCTTCTCGAGAAGGTGTTACAACCTATGTCAGAAAGTTTGCAGGATCAAGTGACAGAACCCTCAAGCGCAGATCAGCCTCTTCAATGCCTCAAGGACATCAGAGGACCAGGGTCACTCCTGTCAGGTCCTTGATGCCTGATCCATCCCTCAGAATAACCAGGGAAGATGTGGCAATCACCTCCAGCTCCACAGGGCTGAGGTCTGCCTTGGAATCACCCGTCCCAGCACCAACCATGAATATAGGAGCCACGTGCTCAGTCTCCTCACCAGGGAAAGCGCATAGACAAACTCCAGCGCCGAAGCAAGCACCTATATGTGCGACCCAGCTAGGGAAGCAGAACCGTCCACAAAGTGGCCCCGCAAATCCCTGGTGTCGGTGCAGTGGCTTCTCCAGTGTCTCCCCCACGACAGACTCTCAGCTCATAGACAAACAAGACAAGCTCTAAAGGAAAAACAAACTTCAGGGGACTCAGGGAGTGTACAAGTGAGCAAAGCCATCCCTTCCCACTCCCATCAAGGGAGCAGTGTCTGGCACAGTACCCATTCTACTCACCACCACAATAAGGACATGGGCACTCAAGGGAGATCAATAACGACCAGAGGAGCGCATTCTCCTCCCAGCATTCTTCTCCCACCCCATCTCAGCAAAGGCATCACTACGCAGCCCACCCATATCATCCTCAGTGGCATCCAAGCTGGTACTATGCACCTCGTCATTACCAAGCGCATTGGGCACCCTGGGATTATTGGGCACCACCTAACTGCCATTCTGCTGCCCCATCTTCAGAGAAAAAGCTACAACTAGCTTCACCATCTCACACTATGAGATCCATGCCGGGCTCGGAGGAGGAGGAGGATCAGTTGCTGGACGATCAGGATGACACACAGCTGGCGCAGTCACAAAACAATCCTTTTTCCCCTCCTGAGGAGTTGATAGACCCTGAGGATGAACATACCACAGCAGACCTGAAACAGTTCAAAGATCTTTTTAAGAGGGTTGTTACCTCCCAAGAAATAAAATTACAGGAGGTTAAGGAGAAACAACACTATCTCCTAAAGACTACTACTCCATATCAACCTTCTAGAACTCAGAGCGGTCAGGAATGCATGGAAGTATTTTACTTCATCCATCACCAACAGAACTGTTCATATCTTTACAGACAACACGACCACCATGTTCTACATAAACAGACAGGGAGGAGCACGTCCCTGATCTCTCTGTGCGGAGGTGGTCTGCTTTTGGAACTGGTGTATCCAACATGGGGTCACACTAAAAGCAGCATACTTACCAGGGGCGAACACCATGGCAGACACTCTGTGCTGCAATTTTGCCACAAGTGGGAACTCCACCTTTCTAAATTCCATCTTTCACTGGTGGAGCTACCGAACAGTGGACCTTTTCACAGCTGTGAGGAATGCCAAATGTCTTCACTTTTGCTCCCAGGCAGGACTGAGGAAGGGATCCAGGGGAGACACATTCCTAATCCCATGGGACGAACCGATTTATTATGCCTTCCCACCAATACCACTGATCCCCAGAATCCTGCGCAAGATCCGTCTAGCTGCAGCCCAGGTCATTCTAGTGGCCCCATTCTGGTCCAGACAGACCTGGTTCCCACATCTGCAGAACATGTTCATCGAACCACCCTACCCATTCCCTTGGCAGCACGATCTCCTCCTTCAGAATGCTGACAAATTACTGCACCCAGATCCACACATCCTTCATCTCCATGCCTGGTTCCTGTCTGGTTCCGAGGAGCAGACATCGCCTGCTTGGAACATGTAAGAAACGTCCTCCTGCATAGCAGGAGGCAAACCACTAGAACGACTTATTAGCAAAAACAGAAATGCTTCACATCTTGGTGTTGTCAGTGGCAGCAAATCTCCAATTCACACAATACTCGACTACTTATACAGCTTAAAGAGTGAAGGCCTATCAGTGTCCTCCATAAAAGTACACTTGTCAGCTATTACTGCTTTTCACAACTGCATAGAAGGGTCATCAGTGTTTGCACATCCCGTGACAAAAAGATTCCTTAAAGGCCTTCAGAACCTCTACCCACCTCGTAGAATCTGAATTTAGTTCTGGAGACCCTTATGAGACCTCCCTTTGAAACCATGACCACATGCTCACTGTTGCTCCTCACAATGAAGGTGCTTTTTCTGGTGGTGATCATATCCACAAGGAGTTAGGAGCCCTAATAGTGGGCCCATCATACACAGTCTCTGTTAAAGATAAAGTGACTTGAGATCACATCCAGCCTTTATACCAAAAATCAACACCTGCTTTCAGATTAATGAACCCATGGTTTTACCTGCATTCTTTCTGAAGCCACAAACCTCGCCACACATACCATGCTTCACACCCTCGATGTCAGAAGGGCTTTGGCTTTTTACATTGACAAAACTCAGACATTTCACAAGTCCCCACGTCTATTTGTCTCTGTTGTGAATTACTCCAGGGGCAACCCAATTTCCACACAACGTATTTCCAAGCTGATAATGGGTTGCATCCTCCAGTGCCACTCCCTTGGTAACAAACTTCTAAAGAAAGCACCAAGGGCACACTCCACCCGTGCTACTACAACTCTCAAAGACATTTATCGGGCAGCCACATGGTTATCGGACCACACATTCTCAAAACATTATGCCATCATGCCCCAGCTAGCGGCTCACACATCAATGGCTAAGGCAGTTCTCTCTGCCGTTATGAAGCAGTGACTCTGAGTCCCACCAGCCACAGCGAGCACTGCTTTCTAGTCACCTACAGCGGAGCACCCCCAGAGACATCACCTGAAGAAGAAAAGGAAGTTACTCACCTTGGGCAGTAAGAACTGTTCTTCAAGGTGTGTTTCCCTGTGGGAGCTCCACAACCCTCCCTCCCTTCCTTCCCTCTATTCGGAGTCCAGTTTCTCTGTGGTAGGCAAGGAACTGAGGAGAGGGAGTTGGACCGTGCTCAACTGTCACACCACCAGCAGCGTGAGAGGTTCGCTGCACATGTGCGGCCCGACTGCTAACTGCTATGAAAAAGTCTCCGATCCTGTGGCTCTGGGGAAGATCTGCCACCTACAGTGGAGCACCCATGGAGGGGGGGAGGGGACACCTCGAAGAACAGTGGTTACTGCACAAGGTGAGTAATTTCCTTTTCTCTAAACATTCCATCTATTCCATACCTGCAGGGGCTGAGAAGAACTTTTCTGTAATTGCGCCTCGTAGCTGCCAGGGTCTCTAATGTGGCATCAAAAACAGGAGTTGAAACCCAAAGAGAGTCTCTCAGGGGTACTTGCAATTTCCCTGCATTATTGCTTCATGTTCTGATTCCTAGAATATCAGTTTCATGGGCATTGTTAATCTATAGAGTACATAACCTTTTAGCCATGATTGGAAATTTTTATTTAAAGCTGAAGACACAGAATTTGATGGCAAATTACTCAGTTCCAGAGGGAAAAGAGAGTAAAGGAAAAAAGCAGTTAAGAACGATTGGCCTCTGCACCCCCTTTTTTCACTAGGTAGCAATTTATGCAAAGGTCACAGCAGATACACAGTTAAGGTCTCTGACATGGCAAATCCAATCTCCACAGCCTTTCAGAACGACTAAAACCAGTTTTTGTCAATCTTATCTCTGACTACTATAAGCCACACTCCTTTTCCAGAACCAGAGATTGGCTCCAGGATTCCAGATCACCAGTATTACACTGCTAGCTATTAAATAATTGCATAACCTAGTGGGAAAATGCATGTAAAGTCTTCCTCCACTGAGTGACCTACAAAAGGGCTGTTACTCCTGTAGCTCAATAGTAAGGGTCTAAGCTAGGAATCTGAAGCTCAGGAAGTTCAAAACTTGCTGATCTGTGTTACTGAATAGTTGCATGTGAGTCACACACATGTTTAAAAGAGATTTTGTACTTACAAACTATATTGTGCTGTACAGTGTGATTTCAGTCACCAAAATACATGTGTTGATGTAAAAAAAAAAAGTCTCCTATAAAAGCTTTCTTTCAAAAGTGGAGGTTGGTTCTCTCAGCTTGCCCAATGGATCATCCCTTTTATGCTCATGATTTTTCCATGTATGGCCTGTTTTAAATTTGTTTCTGAAACATTGTTTTTCCATTGGAGACAATATTCCCGAGAGAAGACTTTCCAGACCTCCCAGACCTTATCTGGCTGGTAAAAATGTATAGATGATGAGCCTTAATGTACTGAGTTACTGTACCAGCAGTAGAGCGTAGTCATGGTGGCACAAGCAGCCAGAGGAGCTAGGTGCTCTTAGAATGTGCCTAATGTCTTAGATGGGCTTGTACTCAGCCACAGTGGTTAGTCCCTCCCATTGCCATACTCTGTTCTTAGCATGTTAGCTTGATCAGAGCTACCATAAGTATGTCTCCCTGAGCTGAGAATAACACCCCAACTCAATGTGCAAACTTCTAGAAGAATGATGTAAGCCTTTTCTTTCTCCCTCCCTCCAAGTTCCAAAACACTTTCTTTGTGCATAGTTTATCTATAGATACTTAGCTTAAAACCTCATAATTTCCTGGGGTCTGTTTTTGGCTGCTTTGCACTGTTTCCATGCAGCTCAGTTCAAGCTAGATAGAGCGGAGAGAAATGGTGTTTTTGTTCCTTCTCTGGCTGTAGTCTAGGTCAGTGGTTCCCAACTGCTGATTCACACACCTCTGGCTGTTGGGTTGCAGTGGCTCTGGTGGTCAAGGCTGGGATACACCACTCTTGCTGCAGCTGTTGGGAGAGGCATGTCCTGGCCTGGCTCTTAGCCAACCAGGGAAGTTCTCTTCTACAGCCGGGGAGAAGAGCCCGTGCCGTGCAGCCCTCCCACCACACAAGGAAGTGCTCTGCCGCAGCTGGAGGAAACCCTGTTCCTGCCTGGCACTGGTTGGCTGAGAGGCAGGGCAGGACACGTCTCTCTCAAGAGCTGCAGCGGGGGGGAGGTGCTGAGTGGTGAATCCCAGCTCTGGCCCCCAGAGCCGCCATGAGGGGGAGATGAGGCTGGCACTGGGGGTTCCAGGGGTTGGGCTAATGCTGGGGGACTCTGGAGCTGATCTAGTAGTGGAGGGAGGGCTACGGAGGCAGGGCTGGCACTGAGGGGCTCTGGGGATGGGGTTGATATTGGGGACTGGCCTGGAGGAGGTTCTGAGGGGGTTGGGTGCAGTGGGGTTCTGGAAACAGGAGGCTGGTACTGAAAGATCTGGTGGTAGGAGGCTCTAAGGGGTGGGGGGCTGGCACTGAGGCATTTAGGATGAGGGGCTGGTACAGAGGGCTCTGAGGGTGGGAAGCTGGCACTGAGGATGTTGGGTGCATGGGACTCAGGTCAGTGGCTGGTGTTGGGGGGTACTGGAGGGGTAGAGAACTCTAGAGATTAGGGCTGGCTCTGGGGGCTGGGGTTTTGGTGGACTGGTAATGTTTTATTTGCATATTTGCATAATGAATATGCAAATAAAATGTTGCCAATCCACCAAAAGTTTGTAAATGAGTTTGCTGGTCCCAATATCATAAAGGTTGGGAACTGCTGGTCTAGGTAGTACAGAAGACTTCTGCTATGAAAGGCGGGGGATAGGGAGAGACCATTTTGAAATCAAATACACGAAGAGGAAGCTATGAGGAATGTTGAGCACTGCTGCAGGAGGGGTACAAAGGTAACTCTGAGTGTGTTTTCTCCTGGTTTTGGGAGTGCTTTATATTACGCTTGTCCCATGGTACATGTAAGAAGAGCCTATTCTAATTGTTTCGTCTGCCTGTGTCTCCAAAGAGCCACTGTGACAGTCCAGGATTGCCAGTTTTCAGGATGCTCTACCCAATCCCTTGAACCCTAAAAGCTGCTGTAATGTATCTACCACACTCATCAATTTCCTTTATGCCATTAGGATCCTCCCACAGCCAAGTAACACAGTTTTGCACTGATAGAAGTGCACTGATGCTGGTGAGAGTCTGGCACATGGGGTCTTGCACACATACAG